GCCAGCGGACGAGAAAATCAACCATCCAACGGTTCAGCTGCGTCGTGAATCGATGGCCGAGAATTTTCAAGGGCTCGGTCGTCGCTTCCTGCAGAGGCATCAGCTGCGGTACACCGCGTTGGCGTGCCAATTCCGACGAACTGGGGACGTAGGGCCGTAAGAGGCTGACGTGGAACGCCGGGTGGTGATGCCAATCAGCCAGGAGTCGGAGGTGAGTAGTGACAGATGTTACCATATTTGTCACTTGAAAAGGCCCACAGAATCTGGGTCAGAGCTTGCTCGGGATCGGCAGCCGCAAATGGCGAGTGTCGAGTAGGACGAGATCTCCCACTTTGTAAGTGATGTTACGTCGATGGCGATCGGCTTGTTGGCTTGCGACCAGGTTGGCTTTCCTGATTGCCTCAGCTGCTTTTTCTTGGGCGGCGAGAATGTCTTCAGCAAATTTCTGGGACCGGGGCACGGGTGTCTCGATGTTCGGGATAGAGGGTACCACTGGGTCCTATCTGTAGTTGAGGGAAAATGGGGACTGATGGGTTGTGGCGGAGGGCGCGTTATTATATGCGAATTCCAGTAGCGGAAGGGATTTCTCCCATGTCTTTGGGTTAGTACAGGTAGTCAGAATGAGTTGCTCCATATTTTGGTTGACTCGTTCGGTCTCTGGGTGGTAGGCGGAGGAAAACTGTAGTTTGGTGCCGAACTCGTTCCACAAGTGTCACCAGAAATTCGATGTGAATTTCGGGTCTCGGTCTGAAATATTTGCGGTAGGCAGTCCGTGTAGTCAAATGACGTTGGCGATGAGCAGTTGGGCAGTCTGCTCAGCTGTAATTGTCTGTTGGCAAGCGATGAAGTGCGCCATTTTCGTGAGTCGGTCAACGACCACAAGGATGGCGTTGTGTCTGCTGAGACCGGCCAGCAGTCCTGTCACGTAGTCCATTGTGATGTGTTGCAAGGGTCGCTCGGGCGGATCCAGCGGCTGTAGTAGTCCGGCTGCTCGGTGATGGGAGGATTTCATGATGTGGCAGGCGGTGCAGGAGGGCACGTGCTTGCGCACGTCGTTGGCCATGTTCGGCCAATAATAGTTGCGCTGCAACGTCTTCATAGTTTTGTCGACTCCGAAATGTCCGGAGGTAGGGTTGTTGTGGGATTCATATATTAAAAGGGTACGCAGTAAATCGTAGCCTGGTACCCAGATGCAAGAAGAATCGCGCTTATTAAAATAGGGTCCAGTGGCGATGGTATGCTGTTGATGAATAGCAGAGCGGAAGAAAGGGTCGATAGGACTGCCAGCCGGTCCCAGCGGAAACGACGCCATCCTCGTGGTCGTTGACCGACTCACGAAAATGGCGCACTTCATCGCCTGCCAACAGACAATTATAGCTGATCAAACAGCCCAAGTGTTCATCGCCAACGTCATTCGACTGCACGGACCGCCTACCGCAATTATTTCAGACTGAGACCCGAAATTCACATCGAATTTCTGGCGCCACCTGTGGGACCAGCTCGGCACCAAACTACAGTTTTCCTCCGCCTACCACCCACAGACCGACGGGCAGACCGAACGAGTCAACCAAACAATGGAGCAACTCATTCGAACTACCTGCACTAACCCATAGACGTGGGAGAAATCCCTTCCGCTGCTGGAATTCGCATATAATAACGCGCCCTCCGCCACAACCCATCAGTCCCCATTTTTCCTCAACTACAGATATGACCCAGTGGTACCCTCAACCCCGAACATCGAGACACCCGTGCCCCGATCCCAGAAATTTGCTGAAGACATTCTCGCCGCCCGAGAAAAAGCAGCTGAGGCAATCAGGAAAGCCAACCTGGTCGCAAGCCGACAAGCCCATCGCCATCGACGTAACGTCACTTACAAAGTGGAAGATCTGGGGGTTGGTCTCGTTCCTGTAGCTTCACACTTGGTAGGACGTTGACTGTGTACTAATTTTATATTTTCTTGATTGGCCTTGTGGCTTTTGTCCCAGTGGTTGGGCTAGTACCGTAATCCCCTGTACATAACACCCGCCGAAATAGTAACTCTATGGGTGGTTAATACGGGGGGGAGCTTATGATGCGGTTCATTTTTTAGAGCACCCGTTTTTCTGACATTGAATTTTACATAACACCCTCCTCGTTTTGTTCATTTTCAAACTGTATTTGTTGCTGTATTACAAGGTCTGCTCAACCGAGCAGGCTGCAATCGCGCGTCAACAACCATTAGCACCAAAAAACCGGGTAGAAACATCAACAAGTCGCTGCGCGGAATCGAATCCCTAGCACGGTCAAGAGGATCTTGACCGCCCAAATCGGAATGGGGAATCAAATTGTTGGGAATCGAATTGTGGGGAAGGAGGAATCGAATTGTGGGGGAAGGGGGAATCGAAATTGTGGGGGGAAGGGGGATTCGAATTTGTCAGGGGACGGGGGAATCGAAATTGTGGGTGAAGGGGGAATCGAAATTGTTGGGGAAGGGGGGGAACTGAAACTGTTGGGCCAGGGGGTTACGGTATTGTGGGGGAGAGGGGAAAATCAAAATTTCTTGCCTCGTTAGCAGCCGCTCCGCACCCTTATGGGCAAGTAGGGCCTGGAACACTCAAATTCATTTTGCATTTTACATAACACATGGGCGTTATATTTTTCCGGGCCACTGTTAACACCCACTCATTTTTTCAGTGAATTTTAATATCCACCGTATGGTGTTATATACTGGGGATTACGGTAGTACCGCCCTCGGTTGCTCTTGTTTAGTTTGTACTCCTGCTGACTGGTCTTCGAACCCTTGCCTCAGAGGTTGGACTAGTAGTGCCACCCTGAGCTGTGCGTCTCTTGCCAGGCACTGCCCCTTATCTAGCCTAGGGGGTGTGTCAAAACATATATTTATATATATGTGTCTTATAGGCTAGATAGGTGCATACTCTAAGAGAGTACAACCCCTTAGCACAAAAGCACCTTGTATATCTCATTCTATTTATTCATGTCTTATAGGCTAGATAGGTGCATACTCTTAGAGAGTACAACCCCTTAGCACAAAAGCACCTTGTATCTCTCATTCTATTTATTCATTCTCTCTTTAACTGAAGTAACCAAGAAGCTTTAGGAATTCAGAAAAGCTTTTGTAAGTAACGTTGTTTGCGCAGGAATAAAAATCCAGTGAGTCTTGATTCATGAGGATGTTTCTTTAGGCCAACCCTGAAAAATCAGGGAAAAACTCAGGGAATCCTGAGCGATCAGCATGCCTGAAAACCAAACTAGGGGCCTGCTTCTTATTCTGTGTGCAACTGTTGATGAATCAAAGTGCATACCCCCTCGGGTACTATGAATGGATTGGCAGCAGGCCCCCAAATTGCAGACTTTTTACTCTGATTCAGACTTTTTTCAGGATTTTTTTGGGGTGTACTCTGATTGCAATTACCTTTTTTTCGTACCTTACTCTGATTTTTCAGAGAACCTTTCTGTACCTACGCTGATTTTTCAGACTTTTTTTACTAGTGTACTCTGATGCCTCAACCCTATATGGGAGGTTGACTCTGATTCTGTGTAATACCGAGATTTGGGGGGAGTGTGATTTGTGCTGGTACCCCTGTGGAGGGCGCTGACTGGCACTTAGCCATAATCAGGGCGTGATGCTTGGTGGGGGGGGGGCTTTGTGAGGGCGCTTTCTATCCCTTCACGAAATCAAATGTCAATATGTATTGGGGGCTGTGTGAGGGAGCTGACTGGCCCTTCGCGAAAATCGAAGGCCAGCCAATGAGTACAAGGGGGCTGTGTGAGGGAGCTGACTGGCCCTTCGCGAAAATCACCTCCCAACCAGTGCTAGAGGCAGTGTGAGGGGGCCGATTGGCCCTTCACCAAAAAAACATTTCCTGATGTGCGCCGCCCGCGGCCTGTGTGTGCGAGGGCGCCCATTGGCCCTTCGCGAGATTCCTCCCGCACGCACATGTCGTTTGTCACGAACCAGTCCACCCCATTGCTGGCACGTGAAATAAGCGTGGGCCGGGGGTCTTGGGCAGGGCTTACGTTTGGTTTTTGGGGCACCCACCAGATCGGGGAATCTGGCCGAAACTACCCGTCTTAATCCGTGTTCAGTACCCTGTTTTGTCAAAATTGACCTGTCAAATCCGGGTTTCACAGCCAGTTCTGCCAAAAGGACCCGTCAGAATCCGGGTTCAAACCCTGTTTTTGGAAAAGTCACCCGTCGGAATCCAAGTCACCCGTTATTTCAGCGAAAAAGTCACCCGTTATTTCGCCGAAATTCGGAAAACTACCTGTCAAAAACACGCCCTGGTCTTGGGTGCAGGGCTCTGGCTAAGGTTTTGGGAGGCCTTTCTAGTCAGGGCAGCCCCCTACCCTCACCCTTTGGCATCAGGGTACCGTGCATGGGCACCCTAGTTTTGACAGGGTGTTTTAAATCGCAACCCTTTCTAGACAGGGTTGAAGATTCTGTTACTCGGACTTCACGAAACCCCTTCACGAATTTTCCTTACTATGGCTTTGTGGAAACACCATGCGTCAGAGCAGCGGACACGTACATTCGCGCAAGAAATTTTATGAGTGGACGAAATCCATTGGCCAGCGATTTTCACGCTACGATAGGTTCGGTTCGGATGACCCTAGCGCAACACCTGCAATGACAGTTGTACGCAAAAACCATCGGTTGTGCAGTGCGGCAAGCTCTGTGAGTGGTGGTTCTGGCATGGCACCGACAATTGGACATGTGGCGTGCTCAGTTCATTGGCTGCAATGGATTTCGTGTCAGGTACAGTATAGAGGGGACAGGTAGTACCGTATTCCCCCGGATATACGCCCCTAGGTGCTTATAGGGATTATAGTCAAAATTTTGGGGGTGCGTTTAATTGGATTTTTTTGATATGGCACGGTGCGTTAAAAACGTTCTTAAGGAAACTTTTGAAACGAACATGAACATGTAGCTAGAACAATTTGCAATCGAATGGAATGCTCCCAAACGGGAACAACCAGAGAAGTCCCGCCAAAATCGCTTCCTAGACGACTGACGCGTCAGCCAAGCAGCACGTTCGCTGCAGTTTGCCAGCGTGCAGGCTAGCGTGGGCGATCCTGGCCATCCGTTCTCTCATCTGACATGGCAGCAGAGCTTTGCTGACCATACCTTCGATGAGTCGGAAGGTCAGGGGTCGATTTTGTGTGATGAAGTGATTCCTCACGTAAACTTGATGCGAAATGTACAGTCAACATAGTCAGTGCGAGATTCCGACGGGGAAAAGGGGGGTGCGTATAGGGATTAGAATCTGGAAAATGGGGGGGTGCGTATCATTGGCACATCCGATATGGCACCCCTCCGGATATACGCACCATGGTGCGTTTTAGCTGGCGGTGCGTATATCCGGGGGAATACGGTACTAGTACAGTTTCGCTGGTCCGGGGAATTTAAGCGCCACCCTTTCCGCACAGGGCGGGGAGCGAAGCCACTCTAGTTTTCACAGGGTGAAACAGAAGTGTACACTGAAAATGTAAGGGTGAAATGTTACTAGAGTCTGAAAAATCAGACTAACATGCGCCGAGCACCCTGCAAATCAGAGTAAACAGGGTGAATCACCCTGTTAACCTGTGCCCTGCTTGGGTGGTACGATTGTGCGATTTCGCCCGCACACAAATAGCTGGAGTACGAAGAAAGCGAAATTGAAGGAGTTGGTAGATGAGCCTGAGTAGAGGACATTCAATGATATGTGATGTGACTACGGCTTTAAAATCAGAGTTTGAAAACATAGTGACTCTGATTGATCATACAAAAAATCTCTAGTTACTCTGATGTTGCAGACTTTTTTTAGGGGCAACTCTGATGGCCATACCAAGGGATGGCAGGCGAGTCTGACGAATCAGACAACCCCAAAACCAATTTGGGGGCCTGATTGGCAGAGACAAGAATCACGACTTTCAACCACCAGTTTGAAGTGTATTCTATGCATCCACATACGAGCCACTGAACATGCCAGCGGTGCCGGCCACTTTGGTCCTCAGCTGTGGCTGAATGAGCCCCTGGGCGTGCTGCAGCTGCTGCTGTGCGTGCTCCAACGCCCATGCCACCTGGGGGGGTGCGGTGGTGATCGGTGGATGGCGATTGGACATGGGAATCGTGTGTTGGCGACTCGAATCATAAAAGAGTTATGGAGTCATGATATGGGGAAGAAGAGATGACAATGCCATGGGGAGATGGAAGAAAGGGATGACTTTGCCACACAAGTGAGCGTGACAAGTCTTAAAGCCAGAGTATACATTTTGGTTGAGGATTTCAAAATTTAAAGATTTGAAAATTGGTAACCCCATAGACCTGCCAGGATTCTCTCGCTGTCGCCAGGGCTCCAGTGATTCTCGACATTTGAACGAGGGGACCTAGATTGTAGACCGATTGTTCCGTTCCCTCGATTTTGACTCCCCCTCCCTTGCTTTCAATTTCCCCCCGGCCCCCAATTCCTTAGCCCCACCCACCCCGATTTCCCCTTCCTCTCACCCCCACATAGTCCAAAATCTTCCTTGTTCCCCGCATTCGACTCAGCATTCGATTCCCGCCAGCCTCCCAAAGTCCATTCCCCCCAGCCCCCCAATTTCAATCCCCCCAGCCCCTTAATTTCGATCCCCCCAGCCCCCCAATTTCGATTCCCCTGAACCCCACCAATTTCGATTTCCCCTTCCCGCATTTCGATTTCCTCCGCCCTTCCAATTTCGATTTCTCCCTTCCCTCCAATTTCGACTTCCCCTCTTGCACCACCCACCCTCAGCCGAAATTGACGAAAACAAATTGGCCTCGCTATAACTTTTGCTTTCGCCAGTCAGCATTTGGAAAGGCCGACCTAAATGTAGACGCCCGCTTTAAGACCGATCCGTATAGGATAGAAGGGTGCGCATGAGCAGCGCGTGCGAGGGTGAAGTGCATTGCCGAGAATGTATGAGAGTGAGTGTGTGTGAGAGGGAAAATGTCTGTGTGTGTGCGTGAGAGAGAGTGAAACAGCAGCAGAGCACAGGAGCATAAAGGTGGGAATAGTAGCAGCATACAGTGGGGAAGGCGAGGTGGTGGAAGGGGATGGCGTCCCACTCAAACAGAGCCGCCTCTAGCGTCTCCGAGCCTGATGGTGAGACGTGAAGTGTTGGGCGTGGGAAAGGGTGGAAGGCGAGTCAGGGGAGAATGAAGAAAGAGGGAATGCAATGGGATGCGAGACATGGGCCAAAAGAGCACAAAAGGCTGGGAATGCCATGGCATGGCAAGTGTACCCAGCAGGGAAGAGTCGTGACTGGACTTTGATAGTTGAAGCACACATGAAGAGGTAAGACATGTGAGGTTTCACATTGCGCTGGAATAGCACTCTTGGGCGACGCATGTTGGTTCGGCTGAGCAACAGAGATAATTGTGATTCCATGGCATTGCAGTGTGAAGCACATGGCATGTGTGAGAGGCACATGGCATGTGTGCGAGGCACATAGTGCAGTGAGACGCACACGGTGCATGTGAGACGCACACGGTGCATGTGAGACGCAAACGGTGCCTGTGAGACGCACACGGTGCATGTGAGACGCACACAGTGCATTTGAGATGCACACGGTGCATGTGAGACGCACACGGTGCATGTGAGACGCACACAGTGCATGTGAGACGCACATGGTGCATGTGAGACGCACACGGTGCATGTGAGACGCACACGGTGCATGTGAGACGCACACGGCGCATGTGAGATGCACACGGTGCATGTGAGACGCACACGGTGCATGTGAGACGCACACGGTGCATGTGAGACGCACATGGTGCATGTGAGACGCACACGGTGCATGTGAGACGCACACGCTGCATGTGAGACGCACACGCTGCATGTGAGACGCACACACACCGTGCATGTGAGACGCACACGCTGCATGTGAGATGCACACGGTGCATGTGAGACGCACACACACCGTGCATGTGAGACGAACACGGTGCATGTGAGGCGCACACGGTGCATGTGAGACGCACACGGTGCATGTGAGACGCACACGGTGCATGTGAGACGCACTCGGTGCATGTGAGACGCACATGGTGCATGTGAGACGCACCTGGTGCATGTGAGACGCACATGGTGCATGTGAGACGCACATGGTGCATGTGAGACGCACATGGTGCATGTGAGACGCACATGGTGCATGTGAGACGCACATGGTGCATGCGGGAAAATGGAAAGCGGCGGATGGCATGAGGTGGCATCAGGAGGCTTGAGGTGGCATGAGAATGCACAGGAGAGTAGAAAAATGGAAGACAAAGCGACAGCATCATGGCAGGGAGCGAGAGCATGAAGGATGGCAGGGAGCGAGCGCATGATGGCAGGGAGCGAGCGCATGATGGCAGGGAGCGAGAGAATGATGGCAGGGAGCGAGAGCATGATGGCAGGGAGCGAGAGAATGATGGCAGCGAGCGAGAGCATGATGGCAGGGATCGAGAGCATGATGGCAGGGAGCGAGAGAATGATGGCATGGAGCAACAGCATGATGGCGGGGAGCGAGAGCATGATGGCAGGGAGCGAGCGCATGATGGCAGGGAGTGAGCGCATGATGGCAGGGAGCGACAGCACGATGGCAGGGAGCGAGCACATGATGGCAGGGAGCGACAGCACGATGGCAGGGAGCGAGCGCGTGATGGCAGGGAGCGAGCGCATGATGGCAGGGAGCGAGCGCATGATGGCAGGGAGCGAGCGCATGATGGCAGGGAGCGAGAGCATGATGGAAGGGAGCGAGCGCATGATGGCAGGGAGCGAGCGCATGATGGCAGGGAGCGACAGCATGATGGCAGGGAGCGACAGCACGATGGCAGGGAGCGAGCGCATGGTGGCAGGGAGCGAGCGCATGATGGCAGGGAGCGAGCGCATGATGGCAGGGAGCGAGCGCATGATGGCAGGGAGCGAGAGCATGATGGCAGGGAGCGAGCGCATGATTGCAGGGAGTGAGCGCATGATGGCAGGGAGCGAGCGCATGATGGCAGGGAGCGAGCGCATGATGGCAGGGAGCGAGGGCATGATGGCAGGGAGCGAGCGCATTGTTGTAATATATTATTATAGACAGCATGCCTGGGAGGTGTAGAGATTTAAGTTATTGGGGGGTTGTTGGTTGGGATCACCAATCACAATTTGGTCCCAAGGCTCCACCAATCAGCAACCACCACACTTTGGGGTTGCTTCCCCTCCAAGCTACCTCTCCCATTGGCGACTATTGTAGCCAATAGGAGTGCCTTCTGTTCCAACCTTTCCTTGCTCCTTGGTTGTACTATAGAGCCTCTTGGCTCCCTTTCTAGTTAACACTACTTCTCTCTAATGTTACTTCCCTCATGGTATTCAGAGCCAATGGATCACTCCACCTGGTCGATCCTAATTAGCACGGCCTAGTCCTTCCTCCCCTCCTCGCTCTCCAGCCCTAACCCGCCCTCAAGCTACCCGGCTGTCCCTTCCGGCATCCCCTCCTCTCGCGCTTCCGCCTCGCGCTCCTCGCACCGCGTGTCTCCTCGCGCGCTCCTCCCGGCGAGCCCCTCCCGTCGCGCTGCTCCCGTCGCACTGTTTCCGTCGCGCGCTCCTCTTGGCGCTCTCCTCCAGTCACGCGCTCCTCCCGTCGCGCTGTCCCCGTCGCGTGCTGCTCCCGTCGCGTTCCTCTGCAGTCTCCCCCGGTCGCGTCGCCCCACGCCGCGTCCGCCCTTGCGCTAACCGCCTGCGCTCCCCTCCCCCTCTAAGAGTTCGCGTCGCGTCACCTACGGCGACTTAAGAGCTGCGCTCCGCGCACCTGTTCCTTTCTCCTCCTCGCTCCTCCTCCTCTTCCCCCCCTCCTTCTCCTCCTCCCTCCTCCTCTTCCCCCCCTCCTCCTCCTCCCTCCTTTTTGCCCCCGCCCTTCCCCCGCTTCCTTCCCTCCAGCATGGCATCCTCGGATTCTTCCGTGGCTCTTGCCATCGTGGATGCCCTTGAGCTGCTGCCGGACAACACTGCTGCAAACTGGCATTCCTATGCCCACTCCATCGCCGTCCTCCTCTCTTCCGTGACAGTCAGCGGCTTCAATCTCAAAGCTGTTGTTTTCATGGAGGAGCGCGGCCTTTAGCCTGTTGCGCCCGTCGCTCCCGCGGGCTCTGCACCCGACCATCCTGGTGATGCTCCCGAGTCCCCTGGCGATCCGCCCACCTTCGCCCCGGACGTCAGCAACCCGCAGAGCTCGGAGACCACCATCCGCAGGTATCGCAGCAGCCTCACCGAGCACCTCCGCCTGCAGCTGACCTATGAGATTCGGAAGACCAAGTTGATGCTGCATCCACCATCCGCTACCTACACCACCCGTCAGAATCTGTACATCACCAACATCACCGCCTGGCGTGTCGCTGATCGGCGTGCACTCGCCATCCTTCTCGCCACCATCCCCTCCTCCCTCAAGCGGGAGCTTGCTCCCACCTCTTCCTCCCACCTGTGGCAGCTCCTCACCGATCTCTATGATCGGCAGGACATTGCCACCCTTTACGCCCTCATTAAGGAGTTCGGGTCCGTGACCATGGATTCGTCCACCGGCGCAGCTGCATTCACTTGTCGTGTGCTCGACCTCGCCCGCCGCCTCGCTGCTCTCGTCGTGCCGTACCCGGATCCCGTGTTGTGCTGCCACCTCCTTGAGGGCCTGACTCTTGCCTTCGACGCCCACAAGCTCGCCTACATGCAGCTCCTGTCCAAGCACAATACCCCAGCTCAGGTCGCTCAGTGGATCATCACCACTGAGGCCGATCTCTTGCGCCATTCCTCACCCTCCGCCGCAGTCGCTGAGCCGCGCAGCAGCAGGGGTGGGCGCAGGGGTGGACGTGGCGGTAGTCGCAGTGGAGCTGTGGGTCGTGGTGGTTCTGGGCGTGGTGGTGCAGGCCGTGGTGCAGCAGCGGCCTTCCCTCCTTGCCAGTATCTCCCTCGCTATGGCCCTACTCGGGGTCAGCGCTGCGGGCAGACCACTCATTCCACTGAGACGTGCTTCAAGGCACTCAGTGATGAGTGGTTTGCCCGTGGCGATTCCGGCACTCCTCCTCGCTGGTCCTCCCTCACTCCCCGCCCCACTCCCCAGGAGGTGCGTACCAGTCCCCTCTACCAGCCCTATTCCTCCGCCCAGGCTAACCAGGCCATCGCCTCTCCCCTCCTTCAGCAGCCGCAGCAGCAGAAGCCAGGGGTGCAGCAGCAGGGGCAGCAGCAGCGGCAGTAGCAAGGGGTGCATCAGCAGCAGCAGGGGCAGCAGCATCTTCGCTCTCAGCTGCAGCAGCAGGTTCAGCAGCTCCAGCAGCAGTTTCACCTCCAGTCGCAGCTGCCACTAGCTCCTCCTCCCATGGTATCTCACCAACAGTACTTCCCCGCTTGGACTGCAGGGAGTGCTGCCTCAGCTGCGCATCTCTCCGGCGCCTCCCTCGTGCCCTCTGCTGCTGGCAGTGTGACCACCCCCTTCCCTTCTTCTGGCTTTGTTGGCATGCTTAGTCAGGCTGACCGTCTTGCTCCTTCCATGTATTCCACTGCTATTAATGAGAATGTGTTTCAGTACTCCGTCCCCCCACCTCCTCCCTCACCTCTACCTCCCTCCACCCTGGAGTTCGTCCTTGACAGTGGAGCCACTGAGACAGTCCTCCGCGACGCTGGTACTCTTAATGCCCTTCCCGTTCCAACTTCCCTCCTTGGTGCTGACACCAGTTTATCCATCCCCTGCCGGCACACCTCCACCTAGGCTTGAGCAAAATACCCGCCCGGGTCGGGTACCCGGGACCCGGATCCGCTTTTTGGGCGGGTCGAGTATCCGGATTCCGGAATATTACCCGGCGGGTCGGGTCCGGGTTACCCGGGAGGGTATGCGATACCCGTTACCCGAAACGTTACCCGACCCGGTCGGGTAAATAATACCCGAGGTCGGGTACTCCATTTAGACATTGGCGTAAGTCGCGCTGTGTTTTAGGTTTTGCGGCAAAACGAAATGGGAGGTGAGGGGGGACAAGTGGAGCATTTGTTGTTAGGAGAAGTTGGAGTTTGTAGATGGGCAGGGGTTAAGTGCGGTGAAAGGGAGAGAGTTGTGAGGTGTTGGAGAAAAGGTTGGAGTTTGTAGACGGGTAGGAGTTCAGTGC